AGAGAGCTGTTAGAAGAGACAAGAAGCAGTATTACAACAACACCTGTAAAGACACTGAAGATGGAAACATGCATAGAAAGGCAAGGAAAGTCTTTCAAAAGATCTCTGAACTCAGAAGAAGGTTCCAACCTTGAATTGGTATGCTAAAGGATGCCAATGGACAGATAGTAACTGATTCAAAGGAAGATAGAAGGACTATACTGAAACATTATACATTGGGGTGTCAACATCCAACCTACCTTAGAAGATATTCCTTACTTCTAAGGAATAAGAACTAAGAACCTCTAGTACTACCAGATGAAATTAGATCAGCACTCCATTCATTACCAGGTCAGAAAGCTGCAGGAACTGATGGAATACCCACTGAAATATGGCAAGCAACAGAAGAAAAATGGTTCTAACCAAGCTATGACAGCAAATCTGGAGAATGACACAGTGGCCAGCCAATTGGAACAGGTCAAATCTACATTCCAATACCAAAAAAAGGAGACTTAACAGAGTGTACAAACTATTGTACAATATCCTTAATTCCACATGCCAGCAAAATAATGCTTAGGATAATCCAACACAAATTAGAATCCTACATGGAAAAAGAGATGCCAGATGTTCAAGCTGGCTTTAGGAAAGGGCAGAGGAACATGAGACATTATTGTCAATGCACACTAGATAATTAACAAAGCCAAAGAATATCAAAAAGAAGTCAGCATGTGCTTCATCTATTATAAAAAAGCCTTTGTGTTGATCACATCTAGCTGTGGAATGTGCTCAGAAAAATGGGAATCCCAGAACATCTCATTGTCCTCATGAGAAACTTATATACAGGTCAGGAAGCCACAGAACACAGAACATGGCGAAACAGACTGGCTCCATGTTGGCAAAGGAGTGCGACAAGGCTGCATGCTCTCCCCTTATTTATTCAACCTATATGCAGAATATATCTTAAGGGAAGCTGATGAGCATGGTTTTAAAATTGGAGGAAGAAACATCAATAACCTGTGCTATGCTGATGACACTACCCTGACAGCCAAAAATTCAAAAGATCTACAAACTCTAGTACTAAAAGTCAAAGAGCACAGTGAAAAAATGGGACTAAAATTAAATATAAAGACGACCAAATAAATGACAACAGGTAGAACAACCAGCCTTAGAATTGTCAATGATGATATTGAAGTGGTGGATAGCTTCTGCCTTTTAGGATCAACCAACAACAGTAAAGGAACAAGCAGTCATGAAATATGCTGCAGACTAGCAGTCACTCTACTGAGCAGCCATGAAGGCCTTGGAAAAGATATTCAAATGCTGTGATGTGTCCATGCCTACAAATCAGAATCGTACAAGCCATGGTATTCCCTGTGACACTCTGGAAGTGAAAGTTGAACTTCAAAGAAGCAGGTTAGGAAGAGTATTGATGCTTTTGAACTTTGGTGTTGGAGAAGATTCCTGAGAATATCCTGGACAGCCAAAAAAACAAACTGATGGTTCATTGAACATATCAACCCAAAGTTCTCACTCAAGGCACAAATGACCTGGCCCAAATTATCCTACTCTGGACACATTATGCAAAGATCCAGCTCTCTGGAAAAGGCTCTAATGCTGGGAAAGGTAGAAAGAAAGAATGAAGATGAGGATAACTAGCAGCAAGATGGATGGACTCAGTTACAGAGGCGATGAGTGCACCACTGGGAGACATGAAAGAACGGGTTAGAATGAGACTGGGCAGCTTACCATTTATAAACAGAAAAACAATAAAGAAAGAATCTGAAGTGTCCAGACAATAATATCTCATATAAAAAGAACACTGACGGGGCTTCATGATCTGGGAGAATAGCAACATATTTAAAGACCTCTAGAACATCATTAGAATAGGAGCACATGGATTTCTGAGGGGATATCATTTAAATAAAATTTAAATGAAATTTATAATAGCCAACATAATAACATAATGCAAACACAGTTTAGCACCAGACAAAATAAATTTATTTTCCTTAACCCTCCACCATATTACAAGAGAGGAAGAGTTCACAACATTTCCATCTCTAATGTGTGCTGGAAAAGCCAAGTTCTCTTGGCCTTTCTGAAAAACAAAAGGGTAATCCATCCAGATCAGTTGGAAAAAGGCAGTTCCAAAAACATCAGATCCTGTGTGATAAATGGGGTTAATAGCAACAACTAGCAACTAGCACCTCAGACTGCAACCAGAAACCAACTGGTAACCAGTGTAGCTCTTGAAGTAATGGTGTCACATGGGGATATCATGAAATGCCATTGCTACTGAGCCCCAGCATTCTAGAATAGCTGTACTCACCAAGTGATCTTCAAGGGCAGTCCCCTGTAAAGCATACTGCAGTAGTCCAAAAGAGGTGACTAAGACACAAGTGATTGTGAGAAGGGCCTCCCAAAACTATTACACCAGATGGAGTTGTACAAAACCAATCCTTGCCACAGCAGCCACATGATCCCTATGTTATGAAGCAAGTTCTTCATAAGACCCCATCCAGAACTAAAGAGGGAATATCCATGGAATTGGATGACTTCCTCACCCATGGTCGTGATATCTTTCTTTGACTATCCCACCTGATCAGCCTGGGTTAAGATGTAAAGCTGGATTTCATTGGCATACGAATCATACCTATCCATAAACTGCTGGATGACCTCCCCCAGTGTTTTCATATAGATTTGAAGAGAAATAGAAAAAGTGCCTGGCCCTGTGGCACTCCACACTCAAAGGGCCCTGGCTCAACCTCTTCCTGCCCACCAACAGCAACTGGAACCATCCTTTCAGAAAGGAGGAGAACATTGCAGAACAGTGGCCCTCTCTTCTGCCTCTTCTGAGGCAGTCCAGGAAAATTCCATGGTTAATGATGTCAAAAGCCACTGAGAGGTGAGGCAATACTCCCCACCTGTTCTCACCAAATGCCATTCTTAAGCAAGACCAATACACTGAATGTATGCCCAAAACGTAACTGGAAAGGATCCAGATTTCTTCCAGGGCTTTGTGCAAATGCAGCCCCACCACCTATTCTATAATCTTTCTCCCAAAAGGGAGGTTGGAGACAGGTCAATAGTTGTCAAGTATTCTTGGGTCAAGTTTTTTTTTTGGGGGGGGGGATGCACTACTGTGGAAGGAGGCACCATCCCCTCACCAAGAATTCATTGACTATAAAGCCTCCATATGGAGGTAGACATTTTTTTTTGCTTGGGCCCTTCTGTGGAAGTCCAGCTACGCTTAAAAACAGGCATTCCAGTGACACCCACTTCCCAGTTAAGGGTCCCAGACTCAGCATAAGGGCAGGTCATACTTGCCTTGGCTTGGTCAGTAATTCTGCCAAAAAGTGAGATTGGCATGGCAGATCTGATTATGCCCTCTTTATCTGAGTCACAGTCAAAGCCCTGTTTGTAACTCAGAATGAAAGTCTTGACAGTTATATTTTTATTTAACAACAGCAGCAGCAGCAACAACTTTGGATGAACAGATAGACAAGATGTCCTGGTCTAATGTATGCCCCAGTCACCAGATACATCAACATTTATCTATTCTTCAACTGCTTGTAATTTGCATATACATTTTTCATGTGCACTGATAACTAATTTTATGCTTGTAAAAGCAAACATTTCAGAAATGGGTATTTTATGGAAGCTTTGTACCTCCCAAAATACCTATTTTTGAAATGTTTTGCTTTTATAGAAAAATGTTTTAATATTAAACATGTCTCCACACTTGCTTGAAAACTGCCCAAATCTAAAACATTTTGCCAAAAATGTTTGGCAAAAACATTTAGATAGCACTACCATGGTATGGGTTAGGAACAGAGGATCTGTTTCAGACTGAGAAGGATCACAACACAAAATGAGCAGTGCTGTCCTCCATATGCATGCAGCTCTTGATGCGCACCACTTACCTAGAGCCACACACTCCATTCACATACACAAGCTGCATTTCCTCTTCCAACTGATGTAAGGGCATTGCAAACTTTTTATGTTCTGGTAGTTTTTCAGAGGCAAAGCTATAGCTTAGTGATAGAGCATAGGCTTTCCATAGAAAAGACCTATGACTAAACTTAGACCGAGGATAAGAAGAGCTAGGATTCCAGCTGGACACACCAGAGAGCCACTGGCAGTCCTTATACTGACTCTCAGTCCCTGAATGTTATGAACCACTGTCAGTTGTGTATAAGGAAGCTTCTGATGTTCCTGTTGCCCCTCCTGCAGTACTTTTTCTATTTTCTCCTTATAGGTAGTAAGAAGAAAATCCGATTGTACCAATTTCTTCTCGACCTGCTTCGGAGCGGAGATATGAAGGATAGCATCTGGTGGGTGGATAAGGAAAAAGGCACATTCCAGTTCTCCTCTAAGCACAAAGAAGCCCTGGCTCACCGCTGGGGCATTCAGAAAGGCAACCGCAAGAAAATGACCTACCAGAAGATGGCACGGGCATTGCGAAATTACGGGAAGACCGGAGAGGTCAAGAAAGTCAAGAAGAAGCTCACGTATCAGTTTAGTGGTGAGGTGATGGGAAGGAGCAGCATTGATAGAAAAAGCTATCCTCTCTGAATGAGAGTCCAGGACCCCCCAAAAGCCAAATCACAGAGACAAATATGGGTTGGACTTAGCAACAGAGTTGCTATAACATCTTCTATTATGCTTCCCAGGCCCTCATTTTTACCTTATCGAGGCTTTCAACAACCATCTTCTCTGGTACGAATTCCTTTTTCAGCTTTGACATTCCTACAGGTTATTTTTGCATCTATACAACAAGCTGGACACAGTAGGGATTTTTTTAAAAGAGAGAAATATATAGGCATGTTGTATTGTCGAAGGCTTTCACGGCCGGCATACGATGGCTGGTGTGGGTCTTCCGGG